TATTTAGCACAACAGATAAGGTATGTGTGTCCTGAACAGGGATCTTCTACATGTAAGCTGTCCTCACATTTCACTGAGCTAACCAGCCATGTGGCCAACAGCATGCTTCCATGTCTGTTTTAAATTTGACTTCTGAAGTTGTTTTTTTATTTATTTATCTGGATAAACTAAAACTTTGCTGGCTAGGTAATGAGCTTGTGGATTGGCTACGGCCCAGGGACCACCAGTTGTCTACAAGAAGCCTTGCTCAGGCATACTGTAAACAGACACAATAAGCGGGAGAAGCATCCTGTGTGTGTTGCAGTTTGGAATAATGTGGACTGTTTCAGTTCCAAAAATGTGTGACTAGTTTAGAAATAATCCCCCTTTTAATATGTTTTTGCCTCCCACCATCTTCACTCCTCAAAGCTACTGAGGACATTTCTTAGTGCAGCAGTGGCAAATGCATTAAAACATGTATAATTTGGAGAATTTCTCCCAGTGTACAAAAGCCATGGAATCTATTATCAGCTAGTTTCAACATGTTAAAGAATTATGTTCTTGTTGTTTAGCAAGGGAGAGGGCTGTCTGTGATGCAGATGAAGAGGTTGATGCTGAAACAGAATGAACAGACACATTATGTACTACTTGTTTGTTGCAGATTTTATTTTCTTTAGTCTGTCTTTGACAAAGTGCAATGAGTGCAAGTAGTCTGCAATAAAGATCTCCTCTGCCTCTTTTTCTTCCATGTTTTTGTTTTATACTTTATGTAATAACTACAGCATAGTGTTTATGCGCTGGTTGACTTTGTATGATATTTTAAGACTGCGTTTGGTTTTGAGTAAAAACCAAATGGTTTTAAAACAACTGCTTGACTTTGGAAGACAAATAGTTGTGTTCATCGATTTAAGAACAGGAGAGAACATTTCAGGGGACATGTTGCAGCAATCTCGAATTAAAAAAAAATTATTTTTGAATAATGAAATCATTCAGTTCTGCATAACAACTCATGCTTGTCTATGGCAATGTGTTTGCTGACAGTCAGGCAAAATAAAAGGGTGAGAACAGATAAATGTCATGAGTGGAAATCTAACAATTTTCCACAGCACTTAGGTTCTCAGGCTGGAGAAAAGGTTTACATTATAACAAACTATCAAGATATTGCACCCTCAAAAATACATTAGTTGCTTTGAGGAATATCAGTAAAAGTACAAGAGTAAACCATTTGGAGTCTGAACCTGAACCCATTAGAGAATATCTGGAGAGATCTGAAGATGGTCATGCGATCACATTCCCCACCCAGTCTTATTGAATTCAAACATTCCCAGCAACAAGACTTGGAGAAACGTCAAAAAGGTTTGCGTGTACCAAGCATGTAGCGTCACTCCAAGGCGTCGTTGGTGTTAGGCTGGTGGAAATAAAATGATTGGGATCCATTTTTTAGATAACTCTGAAATGCACATATGGAAAACAGAGTGAATTTCTGCTGTTTTGTGCAATTTAATCAAGTGTCATAACCATGCCCCACTGAAAGGGGCATATATTTTTTCCAAGTTGTTTCTTCATGAAATTTAATATAAAATTAAAATATTTTCCTAACTATTTTAACACGTGGCACTGTTGATAGAGCTGTTGCCTCTCAACGAGAAGGCCACTAGATCGAATCCTGGCCAGAGGGCTTTCTGGGTGGAGTTTGCATGTTCTCTCTGTATATTTGTGGGTTTTCTCCGGGTACTCCGGGTACTCCGGGTACTCCGGGTACTCCGGTTTCCTCCCACAGACCAAAAAAACATGCATGTTAGGCTGATTGGTAACTCTAAATTGTCCCTAGGTGTGAATGAGAGAGTGAATGGTTATTTGTCTCTCTATGTCCCTGTGATGGACTCTTGCAACATGTTCAGGGTGCAGGTTTTGTCTCCAGTGGGCCTGCATTTGAACCCCATAACAAAAGCTTACCACGCTTTATGTCAGTCACTTCTAAAAAAAGATTGTGGTAATTTTGGTTAATCCTATTTTTCCGGAAAACAAGTTGCTCAGTATTCACACCTTTAACAATCAAAATGTTGAGATATTTGAACAGATGTCACCATGCACTTTTGGTCATAGGTACAACTGCTTGCCTTGCACCACACTTACCAATCTGTCATCAGACGCTGAACAAAGAGAGGAAGGGAATGTCACTCTCAAATCCCTTTTATGTCCTTTGAAGTTTTATCATCTGCAAGTGTGCCTGTATGTAGATGTGTTTTCACGTTCCCATTATGAATAACCCACCAGCTGTTCACAAGCTTATGGATCCCATGTGGATTGATACTGTATATGTGTCTATATGAGTCTGTTTTGCATGGGGGAAAACCCATTCTTAGAAGCTTTTTCGTTCCCTCTACACATAACATAAGGTGGAATGCTTTGCATGTCTGTTTTAAATCATACTATCTGTTATTCTTTGCTGCTGGATGATATATTTCTCACTTACAGTATACTTATCAACATACTGTATTCCATTTTATCCGTGATCTATACTGGTGTTTTTACACAACCTTCTCATGCATGGTCCAAGCAGTGGCAAAAGTAATGGCAGTGATTTCTGTCTTTCCCATGCAGCCTCATAGGAGGGTCTTTGTTCCCCCTCCAGGCTTTGGGGGTCCCCACAGCAGGGCTGTGCCCCACACCACTGACTCCACAATGGGTCTTTATGCTGCCAAGCCCCCTCCTTCCCACTTTCCCTCCCCCATGCTTGCCTCAACAGGGGCACACCAATGTACAGGGGGCACCATGGCACCAAAACGACGGCTCTTTTATCGTACCCTCCTCTGTCTTCCAATCTCTGTATTGCATGCCAGCAGAGTCAGATACAGTTAAGGGGAGGAGCTGAATCGCCGCAGGCTAAGCTTGTGAGTGGTGCCAAATGTCTCAGTAGGTTACTTTTTTCGCATTCAGACCAAGAACACTTGACACCACAAGCCCAGACCTAACAATCACCAGGAAGTGTGTGATAATGCACTATTACAACCCTTTAATACTGATTTATTTTAGGCAATAAATTGACACACACTTTCTTCCACACACCGATTAAATAAATAGACAACTGACAGTAGAGGACTTTTTTTTTCATTCAACCTTTATTTAGACAGGTATATCCCATTGAGCCTCAAGGACTCATTTACAAGAGAGACCTGATTTTGACTATAGGATTTAGACACACCTCGTACTGTAGTGTAGGTGCTTTGTGGTCCCTTCAACTTATGTTTACTTTTCCATCTGTTCCTGATCATGAATGTAGTACAAAGTATACTACTCTGAGAGTGATACTTGTGTGAGGAACCATCGTCATATATATAACATAATATTTCTGAAAGGTGACTATCTCCTTTTATTAAGATCTATAACAAAATGTTTTGCCAGACATTCAATAAAAAAAAATCATTGTGAGCAATACAATATGACAAGCCATCTTCAAAATATAGGCACGGAACCTATAATGTACTCTATGTGCTTAATAGTAAGTGCTGGCGTTGTCTTAAAAATGTATAACCTTGCCATAACTGTGGAGTAAGTTTCAAGAGCATATAAGAAACAGATCCAGCATCTGAATCATTTGCAGACTAGTGTTGGATCAGTAATTGTCATAATTTTCATCTCATGCTGAGAAAGAAGGAGCACAACAACAAACTGAGAGAGTGCTCTGGTCTCCAAGAGATGCACCCAAAGCCATTTGCAGAAAAGGAGCTCCAAGCTATTCTTGTAAATCAATCTAAAAGCACAAAATAAATCTCAGTGCTAAAAGCTATAGATAACAATTCAATCATAAACTGACAAAAACAATACGAGAGCCTTATGACTTTTTGTCCTGCCAGCTTTCAATCAATATGAAGATGGATTTAATATTGTCCTTATTTCTGCAATGATTAACAACAGCCAGCCACACTGATGCACAGCCTGATGTTGTCTTCCACAAGAAGACAAACAATATATATATATATTTTTCTATTTACCTGTAAAAAATATATATTTTCATAAAGTATACAGTACTTTGTAAAATACTTAGGTCATCAATCTTTTTTTTTTTGTATATTTTGTTTGAAAAAAAACAGACTTCCCATAAACCTTTAAAGTGGCTGTGAGCAACATTTCCAGGCATAAAAAGGCTTCTAAGCTCATGAGATAACTAGAGTTGTTGCTCAAGACTGCTTTTTAAAAAAATATTTAAAAAAAAGACTTTCTTGGAAATGCATCGTGATTCATTAAATGTTTTTTTTTAAACAAGCAGTTGATTCCAATAGTTATCTGTAAAGTTTCAAAAACAAATATTAGGCAATAAGATAGTTGTTTTTTGGGTTGCTTCCTTTTTCAGGAATTGTCACAGTAAGTGAACTTGAATGGAAAAGTTAGTAACCGTTTTACGCCAGATGACCTTCCTGACACAAACTGTGGTTGAATGTGAAGCCTTGGGATTACAAGTCTGCAGAACACAATCAGTTAGGGCTCAGAGTAATTGTAGATGATGATTTCAGCTACCACCACACTCAATTTTAGCTTAATACAGTAAAATTGATAGAGTCACGACTATTTGTTTGTGTTTTCCATGGTTTCTTGGCTGTGGCAATCATCTTGAATGATGATAACCCTAAAAAGGTAGCCGGTTGTACATGCAGATCCAAATATTGTTTTCTGAGTGTTTTAATAAAACACTTCAGTGGTTCATCAGGTATTTTGCTAACACAACTAACAAACAAATACATGCACACACAAATGCTGTCAAAAAACATAACTGCCCTTTGCCTATGTTTGTGGTGTATAGTGACGGGCACCAGTCAGCATTTACAGAACTGTACCTTTGTGTAAAATAGTGAAAAATATCTTGTTTAAACTCAAGTGATGTTGTAACAATCAGTGAAACAACAGCAAAGTGAGACTCATAGGAAACATGAAAGTATAGTTAGTTCAATTCATTCTACACAAATGGATTTGAAGTTTTGCTGCTTTGCAGTTAAACAATCAGGACAAAGAGTTTCTCTTACCTTTCCACTACACCATCCCCACTCCAGCATGTGGAATCTTCTAGAGTACCCTCTGTTTCACACAGCATCTCTGGCAATACCGCAAAGAACGATTTATAGCGCTGCAGGTACATTAAGAATTCCCTGATGGAAAAAAAACAAGTAAAAATGGGCTTTGAATGTTTTATCATGCAGAACTCATAATCAAAATCAGTGTTAGACAACATAATAATGAGGAGTGCTTTGTACAACTGTACCATGTGACCTATTCTTTTTATTTGTCACATTTTGAACCATTTTTACTAACAACAAACTGTTTTAATTTGGTTCAAAAGACATGCATGTGATAAATACACTTATAGATATTGACAGTGACAGCAGCGACAGGCTTTGAATGCAACTGCATCAGCACATTTTTTTCTCGATTATGCTGTGTGTGTGTTAAAGTGACTGCTTTACCAGATCTGCCAACATATGTAATCAATATAGACACTGTCATCTTGAATAAAACAAAGGCATACATGATCTGACACACACACATTGTCACCACCCAAAAGGCAGAGCAAAAACAACAGTGGTCAGGAAAGGTTATATGTGCTGAGACAGTCAGTGAAATCACATTTAATATTTGTCAGTGTTGTGAAGGGAGTGTTACGAGTCTCTATCTAGTCAAAATAATGCAGTAAGGAACTGAGCTTAATAGGTTCCTTGGGTTCAATCTTACCTAGTAAGTGTTCTCAGACTATGTTTATTGTTCTTGGATGGTTTCAGGGGGAATGAGCTGGGAATGATGGGAGTTGAAGTCCAGGAAGGGGGGGATTGTTGTAAGCATAACGTTGCAGGGAGGCAATATGAAGGTTGAGAGGAAGAAAAAAGGACACAAAAGAACAAGACAGGGCATATGGGGAAGATGGAGACACAACAATCATTTGACCACTGAAGAAAGTGATGACTCATGCACATAATTCATGCACATTATTCTAACACCTCATTAAAACAATCAGTAGCTGTTATGCTCAACACTGCATAAAAAAATCAAAACAGATAATGACCTAGAATTAAAATATTAAGTTAGAAAATCCACACAAATGAACATCTGCACAGGTGCAAAGAGTTATATATGCACAAGGAAGCCAAACAAAGTTTACATGAAATGTTCTGATTCATTTCCCCCCTCACTTCAAACTGAAGCTCATTCTTCTTTATCATGTTTCATCCTTTTCAGCAGAACACTATTCTTTATTCACTGCACCAGGTGCTGCTGTGGCTTTGAAGTGGTCAGTGCTCACATGTGCTCTGGTCTGCACTGGCAGACGGCAAGGAGCTGGATTGCTTTGCTATGAATGGTGGTGGCAGTGCCAGCCCAAACATGTTAGCTTGGCTGGCATCGGTGCAGTGATTCATGGTTTAGGAAAAAAAAGGTCAGGCAGGCAACAGTTTTACTGTGTGGGGCTATATAAGCAGAGGCTGGCTGGTGTGCAGAATTGGTGGTACAGCTGTCTGGGTAAACAGGAAATTGTTTGGTCTGTCAAGATTAATAATACCAAACCTTGCTCTGTCTACCAGCTGCCATGGACAAAACATGGCTGCCTTGTGAACCCAATGGAGAGCAGGACTTGTTTTGCAGAGTGTTTGCTGTGCAAGTAAATACACTAAAATGCATGAAGTGATAAAAGCTGTGAATAATCTAATAGTGGCTGCCCAACCCCTAAGCCTATATCACAGAAACCCAGCTTTGCAGTTCTTATATAAATGGGAGAAAACAGATGTTTGTCAGCAATA